CTCGGCTGCCCGCAGCCGCGATCGCTCCTTTAGTAGGAGAAGGGACCTGGAAGCAGCGCTCGGGACAGCAGCGTGCTGCTGGGTGACAAATCAGTGGGGTTTTTTTCCTGTGCTGGATGTTGCTCTCCTAAAGGATTCTCATCATGATCGATAGCTCCAAGAAGCAGCAACAGGGCTTCTCCGAGATTTTACCTGCAGGGGATGTGAAGCCGCTGAAGGAGAAGGAATGCCTTGAGGGGAACAGCCAGAAAAGTCTCAGGGAAGGTCAGTCACTTGCTGGTTGGGGCACAGAAAATGCAGAAGTACTGGGCACTCAGTTCACCAGCGTTTGTGGTGTAATGCTGTATGTCAGGAAGAATTTTTGTACATTAAATGAGGTGTTGTTTTCCCTCGTAAAAAAATTCCTAAAAGCTAAATTTAGAATTTACCTATTAAAATAACGATGACAATAGCTTGATAGAAATCGTAGTATGAAGAGAAATGAGTGATTAAGTACTTTTTCCAGAGTAGCATTTAGTGCTGAATTCATGAAGTACTCTGAATTTGTCCTGTGAATATTGCATAAAATGCTTCATAATGTCACTACTGAAATAAATATAATGAAATAAATGGCATTAAATATGACACTATTAAAAATAAAACCCCACAAACCTTTAGTTTTAGGCATGTATTACTACCTCATTTTCAACAGTGCTTTGCGAGGTCTTTCTCCAGAACTCCCTTCTCCTCTCCTCCTTTAAATTAGATTTGACTCTGCTTCCCAGATGTATGCTTTTCAGTTCACGCTGTGTCTCCTTAAATGATTGGTTTTAGACTGTGCATTAAATGGATACAATGCACAAGCATTAGTTTGTAAAACAGCAATAGTCTGAAGATATTTGGACCGTTATTTAAAGCTGACAAATGGTACTATACCAGATTCATTTAAAGTAGTATTTTTTAGGCTGTGGCAATAATACTGCTGAGACATAGAAGTTGTCTTACTCCTTCTAGCTGGTCCAGGTTAAGGAGGAGAAGGATGAGACCTCTTGAGGTCAGCCAGCCCTGCAAAGAACAGTTTGTTAACTGTGTATGTTAACATACCAGGCTCTTTGCAGTTCAAGACTCAGACTCCAACTTCTTCATCAATCAGAAACAAACTATTTGTAGACAAAATTCCTTCATTCCTTTTACAGCACTCTGCCTTGGCTTTTACTCCAGATACCTCTGGATTATCTGGTGATTCAGAGATTTCTTCCTTGGTGTTGTGGCAAGACTGCTGGTTTTCCCCCTTCTACACGAGATTGTGCCTTTCTCAGAACTGAAATGCTGGCTTTGTTTTGGGGTTTTGTTTATTTGTTTTTAAATGTGGATCTTAATAGTGTTTAAAATAGCAAAAAGATAGCCCATACTCGTTATTGAATTCAGTAACTAACAGCTTATTTTAAAAAAACCCCTTTACTTGGTCCAAGTTAGGGCTGGAGAAAACACCGATTTTTTAATACAATGTACTGATACCAGAGGTTTCTCATTGTTTGGAAAGATAGATAATAAGAGGTTGAGCTTTGATGCATGTGGCTGTGGCTGAGAGCATAACAGCTCTGTTTTCTTTACACAGGAAAGTAGTGATTGAAAGACAGTGATTGCAGAGAAGGGGCCATCTGTGGCTTCTTTTTCATGGTGCTTGCCTTGCAGCTCCAAGCAGGCCCAGTTAAACCTGCTGCTGCTACCTCTGAAGCTCTGTAGGGCAACTGGAACAAAAAAAGAAGGCGCGGAAGTTCAGAGGGACAGAGGAGTAAGCGTACCGTTGTGGGAAATACTGGGGGGAAAAAAACCCTAACTAATCTAAGCTACCAAGAAATAAAGGGGAGACGTGAAAAAATGAGCATGGTGGATAGTGTAGGTGGGCTAATAAGTAACCACGGTAATCATTATCTTCAGCCTTCTTTGAATATGTCACTTATGTAGAAAGTGGATGAAAGAATGTACATTACAATGATGATGGTCTGTCAGAGTAGCAAAAAACCTGCAATTATAGGACACTCTTCCAGTGTAAATTCATGAATACTTCAGAGTTTAAATTATTCGGTGCGTAAAAGAAGGTATAATTGTTTTCCACAGTCACTGTTTTTTGCTTCCTTTTCTCTGTTTTAGTACCTGTTCTCCATTTTCACTTTTCCCCAGTGAATATTGCTTATCCTTCTATCTCTCCTAAGTTTGGCAGCCTAATAATTAAAATAATGAACCTCTTTCTGAGAGTATGAGTGACTTACAGGATCTCTTCTTCCAGCCTTTCCTCTTTCTAAAGCTCAGAAAACCCAAGCATTTTCTTACTGGTATTATATAGAATGAATTATTGAAAACATTGCAATTCTGCTTGATGTGCATCTAGAAAGACTAAAACAGAGCTTCACCTTTTAAGTTTATACTGCTGCAAAATATGTAGTTCAGATATTTTGTAAATTTTTAAAAATTCAATTGCAGTTGTTAATGTCATCCTATTTAAATAACACTATGAATAACAGTGAAACACTTCTTATTGTACAGAAGAGTATATTCTAAATGTCTTTTTTTTTTTTTTTTTTTTTCCCCTTTTTCCTTTAATTCAAACCCCTATGTGACTGGTTTTACCACCTGAATCATCATCTCTTTTTTTGTTAGGACACAAAAATACTTACAAGTACCATCTGTGAATGGTTAAAGCTGCAATATTTAAAAATGGAATTCTATTGGCAAATCCAGATGAAGTACATAGACTTCAAGTAATTCAGAAGGTGCTACAGCCTTTGCTTCATAATCTGTTTTACACAGGTTTGATGAATCTGAAAATCCAGAGATAGCACAGTGTGCTTATTTCATCAATGAGTACCTTATGAGAATTGTTAGGTGCAGGTTTTTTGTTGTTTTTTTTTTTTTTTACTTAGTATTTCTTTATAAGGAAAGAGACTTTTGATGGAAACACAAATCCCAACACTGTCTTCAGCAAATTAATATTAAGGGCATTGGAAGGTTAGATTGAGGAGGATGAATTTTCTTTGCTTAGGCTAATGAATACTCTTAGAAGATATACATTGTAGCATCCTATAGAGCAGGAGCAAATCCTCTTAATTACCCTACTCTCTTGTAAACAACTCATACGTTATTGTTCAAATTGTCTGTTCTGTGAAAACAGTTCTTAATTTTATCTGTCTTTTTGAAATTACCTTCTGTATGAGTAAGGAAGAAAAATACTTTTTGGCTCTCAGGCTAACCATACAGTGCTAACTAAACAGCTTTTTCAGAAATTCCTGTAGCATTGACTTCTAATGTCAAGTAAGTGCCCAGAACATCTAGAAAATTCAAGTGAAAAGCCTTAAATGAAACCCGGACATCATTGTGCATACAGTTAGTAAAAGAGTATCATCAGCAATGCATATATGAGGAAGTAGGAATATGTTTAGGCTGCAGATTAGGTGGTTTCTAACTGAGGAGTGAAGTGAATTTAGAAAGTCTTGCCTTGTTTTTAATATAAAGATTGATGAGTTCCTGTAAGAGTGTATGACCATGCAGAACTCTTGAAGACACATTCTTAAACTGGCGAAACAAATCAGTATGATGCTGTCTCGGGTGGGATTTAAAAGGAGATTTGATCACAGTTTGTTTGCACTGTATTTTTCGTATATTAATCTGAGCTTCAAAGTTACCAGTTGCCTGCAGGTTACTGTAAGGAGAGGAAAAAAAAAACCAAACCACAAACCTAACCAGGAAGGAAATTTTCTTTCCACCTTGAAACATAATTTCCTTCCTGGATTTGTATTGCTTTTTAATTGTACTGTTTTGTGAGGAACTGGAGGCTGGCAAGTGCTAGAAACAGGATACAGGGTGGAACGAGTGAAGCACAGGGATTTTTCAGGTGCTTACTGGAAATTTCTTCATGCTGTCTGGTTAATAGATTACCAGATTAAGCCAGGAAGGATTTCTTCCCTTCCTCCCTTGCAATCAAATCAATACTGCATGAGAATTGTTTATTTAACAGATTTCCTGCTATTGCTGGCATGTTGAGTATTGGTGATACTCTTGACCTCTGCTGCTCTCCTGCGGTGGCATGTTAGACTTAAAAGGTTCTACTGTTGGTTTGCTGGTTTTGGTGGTTGGGGGTTTTTTAGGGTTTTTTTTGTTGTTGTTTTTTGGTGTTTTTTAAAAAGCTTTAAGTTTTGTTATGTGGTGTTTTTATGACCCCTTATCAGTGGCAGTCTGTGTGGTGTGTTTCTTGGGACACATGTAATGAGAAAAATACTGGAGGGAAAAAATGCATTGTTCCTGTCCTCCTAGTTAATAAAGGAAGCACTATAAATTCAGTGTACTGATCCTGTCAGGCTGTGTTAAAATTCTTAACTTTATGTAAACAGTCTCTTTAATGACAGTGGGATAATTGTATGTCTTACAAGTAAATCAGCACTTATTCGGCAAAATTTTCTTCTTCAGTGTAGCACTTAAATGACTAATAAATATATGGTAATCCCATTATAATAAACACATGCTTAAATACTTTGATAAACCAAGGCCACAATGTATTAATTTGATTTTGTATGTAGTCTGTATACAATTAGAGGACACAGTGGCTAACCAGGAATTCTAAGAAAACTTGCTATGGCGACTACATTTCTTGAAGGTTTTATAAAGGGTTAGGATTAAGATTGCTGCTGCAAAAGTAGCTGTAGACTCATCCAGCCCTACCCTGCTTACTGCCAGCCTCTTTCTTGTGTTGGCATTAGCAATTACACAACCCTGAAGTGAGTGAACAGGTATTGCTGAAGACTGTTTGTTTAGACTGTTAGTTTTCAACCAGATCAGAGCACTGACCTGACAGGCTGCATCTTTGCCAGTGTTGATGCAACAGAAGCAGCTGGGGTTGGAGGGAGGAAGAGACCATTGTCTTTTCATCAGTAATCCTGTTTTAGATCATACTAAGTTATGAAACCACGCACTGAAACCACTGTCTTTTTGTTGCTATGCTGGAGGTTGCTTCTTTCCTTTCACAAAGCATCCAACAAAACACGTCTGTACCTCAGCCTTTTTAATGCAAAGTCCTTCTTAATGCAGCAGCTTCACTGTCACAATCTGACTCATCCACTGAGCAAGCATCTGCAGAAACCTGATGTTGTCTACATGGCAGAGCTGACACAATGCCATTGCTTACATCCCCGTTTGCAATCAGGCATCTTGGTGTAAATCTAAATCCACCTTCCTCAGTGATTTGAATTAATGTGTAATCTCGTGAGTTGGAGGATCTGCTTGGGTATGCATTTTGTTTGCTGGCTCTACTGTCCCTAGGAAAAGCATGGAAAATGGAGGTAATACCTTCTCGAGAGAACTTGGCTGGAAATCATCTGTCATCATTCAATGTAATATGCTCCGAATTATCACAAAGCAAGTCTGTAGTAGAACAAGAATTTAAACCCAAGTTTCATGAGTTCCTTGATAGAACACTTCCTGGCTGATAGTAGTATTTGAGGAAATGAAAATTATTTTTTAAAAAAACAGAAGAACGTACTAAGTAGAGGAATACTTGCAGATGTAGAAAATGTAATTATTGTTAATATACTTAAGGTATGCAATTTACAAATATGTGAAACGTAAGCTTTAGTTTATTCAGACTTTCTACCCGGGATAGTACTGATTTTTCTCATTTTAAAGATTTGAACGGAATTGTGAAAAGCATAGATATTGCTTTTTACATATACATGTGTGTATATATATATTCATCCCAGCAGACACTCCAATAATTTGTTTGGAAGCTTGTGTATGTTCTGGCTTGTTTCTAAGCAACATGTTCCATAGCAATAGCATACAATACAGATTGTCCTATAGCCCAGTCATTTAAGCTTCTCAGCTGATGATCTTGTTATGCGTTGTATTTTTGTTTCAAATGTTAAGTTTACGTTAGCTATCTTTCCCATCTAGCTTTTCATTTTCTACTTTCAGTATGATGATCTTACTTCTGGAAACAGTTAATGTGTACATCGTTACTGGCTTATGGACAAAAGCTTTAAATTACAGTGGTATAATTTAAAAGATTTGGAGGTCTTGCAGGGTTTCCTTCCAGAATTCTGAAGAGATTATGTCAAATGGCCCTCAGTAGTCTCCCTCACTCACATGCTTTACATTTATCCAGAACATTTCTAAGCTGAAATGAAAGTATAACTGAATAATTGCTTGAAATGCGTGTGCATCAGAAGCTGTTTCACTCTTCTTAATTATTTTGTATATAGCCTTAGCAGAAAAATCACATATACAATAATGGGAAAAAAGAACATTGCTTTCTATATAAAAATATGTAAGGATTTTTTTTATAAAAACAAGTAAAAATAATGTATTTCTTCTTTTAAATGATACCCTGGCATATGTGAAAATTTTGAAGGCTGAACCCAGTGTCACATATTCGCTCATGTTCAGATGACATCTGATTTAGTTAATGATGAATTTTTTTTTTTTTTAAATTGAGAGTCTGTGACATACTGTATCACCATCTTCAGGCTGATAGGAGGCAACTACCACAGTTTTAAATGCATTTTGTCTTTAAAATGTTGTACAACTTATTTAGAATCACTTCCAACAAATTATAGCTAGCTAAATACTTTCATGCCTTTTCCCTTGCCTGCCTTGCTTCTCTGATATGCCATATAAATGAAAAAAATTCTGCGTTCCCAGATTTCAGACTTTGGACACTTGTGGAATGAGTAATGCCAGGAGCAAACTAGCTACCGTATTCCATAACCTTCCTGAAATGTGTACCTTGGAGAACACCTACTCTTTCTTTTACTTATTACACAAAACATTCAGTTTATTAAATTTTTAGTTTTATTCATAGAACAAATATTAGTTGAAAAGATTAACCATTTTTGTCTCAATAAAACATTTAATGAATTATAAATAGAGTACAACACCCCATATGGCATTGAGGGAGAAACTCAAAAGAAAGCAGAACATCTGTCTCTGGAAAATTGACTTAGTCTAAATTATACTCTTTAGAAAATGCCGTATAAACTTCTAAGTCCAAGCCAATGGAGTTTGGGGGTGCAAGGGTAACAACTGAAAGAGGCACAACGTACTTAATACTCGATTTCTGTAGTTCTGTAACTGTCACCCTGTGCTGTGAGGTTGGTCCAGAATTCTAATACAAAGCTGATGCTTAGATCGCGTCTATAGTCCACTTAGCATCTGATAAAATTCACCCTTCTACTTCACTGCCGCCCTGCTGCTCATATACTTGTATTGATGTTATAGTCCTGATGCCAAACAGCTAGTTAACAAATTACTTCAGATGGAGGACGCGGTAGTTCATCTGCTGTTAACATCTTACTGCTCTGTGTTTCAGCCTCAGCGTTCTAGAGACCTTGGCTGCAGAAAAGCTGGTTTAAGCTGGCAGAAAGAAATGGAGGCTTTCTGCGGAACAGCTTTTAATTTGAGGGAAGCGGCCCTGTTTCCAGCACCGTCTGTTTCCATGGCAGCCAGCCTAGCAGCCTGCGCTGGAGTTTCTACTGCTCTTGGAAATTTCCAAGGGAGTATGCAGGAATGTTGGACTTTGCATTTCCCATTTTTGCTTGGAGTTTTAAGGGCTTCAGTAGCTAATATCTACTGGATTTTAACTTGGAAGAAATAATGAGATGATTACACACAGAACATAAAAAAATCTTGATGCATTCTTTTTCTTCTTGCTGTCATTTGAAAGAACTCTGTACTGTCTAATGAAATCCTTCTCGATGGTTAAGTGTCTGTTTCATCTGTGTAATTATTAAATAGCAACAACTATTTGCTGTTCATATTACCTTCTACAAAAAGATAAAATTTAAATTAGATTTTAAATTAATGGGGAATGTAATTAACTGTGTTAGATGTGGAATTGTTAGTGCTGGAACTGCACAGCTCTGGGTTTTTTCCAAGACAAGAAGCAGTGGTGAAAGCTTGTCAATCAGTGTAGATAGCATTGTTCCTGCAGGACAACTATCAATTTATTTTTGGCCTCTTTACATTCCAGTGCTTGTGATTATATAGTACTACTTTGAGACAACTTTTCCATAGGATACAAATGACAGATTTGTAACAGAAATCACTTGCTCAGCTTTAATAATAGCTGTTAGTTCTAAGTGATTCAATAATACACTTTATTTTCACTTATTCTGCCATTCACACTGAGTAAGACCTGACTGGACTGCTCTACATTTCTCACCTTTCAAAGGGCCTTACGCAGACTGTGATGTGTACTTGCTTAAGGGCCTATTTGTGCCAGCTTTCTTGCATTCAAACCAGCACAGCCTTCAGCAAGCTATCGAGGACCTGCTTGTTTTGGTTGTTCTTAATCTTTATGGCCCTTTAGGGCATAGTTGTATGTGAACCTGGACAGTACTCACTGTTACCATTAACTTTTTAAAATTTACTGCTATATAGAAATATATTTCAAAACAGTAAAGTGCATTGGTTAACAGATAACCTCTCCTTTCTGTGCAATCATCTCCATTCCCTTGCACGTAGAAGTGTTGATATGCTAACGCTGGAAGAAACTGTAAGTGTGGGAGCATCCAGCCTCTGGCACTCAGTTTTTCAGGTGGTGAAAAATCTACACCTCCAGTGAAGTCAGAAGACTTCTACCGACTTTGAGTCAGATAACCAGGTGTCCTTATTGTGAGGAGGGATTATGCTTTTTGGTTTTGTCAGTATTAAATAAGGTGTCTGATATTTAATGATAATTTTATTAACTGAAGAAAACACAGAAATTCTGGAATCTTTTCACCTGGTGTTAAAGTGTTAACCTTAAAATCATACACTGACCTGAAAATAAAAAATACCCTCCCTTCCCCCTCAGTCAAAACAGGAGTTTGACCTCTCTCTGCATGGCTTTTATTGAAAAGTAGTTCAAAGACAAATTTCTTAGAGTTGCAATAGTGTGAAAAAGGATTCCTGCCAGATACTGTGAAGTGCAAAATATTTGTGTTGTCTTTTAGCAACTAGATTTTCTCAGTGGTGTTAGTGTAGCCCTTCTTTTGCATATACACTTAAAATATAAGAAACAGTATTACTGATAGCAGTTAACAGTCTATTATCATATCTAAATCTTTTGTTTTGGAGATCATCTTCTATGATTTCAGATGTTATGCAGGTAACTGCCTGCTTTTAAAAGTGGAAATGTGAGAGGTAAACTATCAGGCAACAAGCTGAACGGATTTGCCCCATAAGAACAATCTGTTAAACACAGTATCTGAGTAAGTACCACCCAGTAGGGAGCTTTGTTTCATAGTACCTCAGGTCTTTTGAATTCTCCCTTCTCCGAATTCCACACTGGGTTGTCTGTAAAGGGTTCTTTGTAATAAAGAAAACAAGACAAAATGAAACCCACACCCCAAAAAACACCCCAAAACACTACAACAAATAGTTCAGTATAACAACTTTGGCTAATGTCTTAGTGGTTTTTAGATTTTTTTTGGGAAGCTGTGTGCTCCTGCCTCATCCATCCTTATTAGATTTAACTCTGTGTGTGTTACTGACTGTTCTAGAAATCTTCTGCTATATGGATTTCTATATATATGATAAACAAAATCTGTATTAGATTTAATTACATTAGATTTAAACTAACCTGCATTCTATTCTATAGAGAGTTCCTCACTGAAATAAATCAACAATTCTTTGTCAAAAGTGCAAAGCTGTGCTCTATTCTCACATCGTTCATTCTTGTCTTTGAAGAGAATTTAATCACTTTTTCCTTATTGAAATCTTTTGATTTAGTTTCCCTGACTCCTATCTTCTGTATCTTTCCGGCTGTTCTTTGAGCTGTTTTTTGTGGGTTGCCATTTCCTTTTGAGCTTTTCACAAACCTCATTCCTGATTCCCTTCCTTCATACCCACTTGAGGTTCATCTCCAGTATAAAGATCCAAGTCTAACTTGTTTCTGCTCAGTTGTAGGGCTCAGTCTAACTACAATGACAGTATAAAGGTCATTACTGACTGTGGTATGACCATCTGCTCAGACACACAGACCTGTAAGCCAGATATCCTCTTTGACTAGATGTAGCTATGCAACCCATGTACAGGTGTTACCATTTCTTCTGTAGAAACACCTCTGCTTTTTACTTGTTGCTGCTGTGGGGGCTAAAAGTATTTTAGGTCCTTATGTCTTTTATTGAGATATAAATATTAGCTTTTTCCGGGTCTGTTTGCTTTGGAAAAGTAAGAGGTTTTTTGCAGATTTTTAACTTTTAAAAATAATATTTTTAGGGTTCACAATTACTTTCTATTTGGAAACTTTAAGAATGCATTCAACTGTTCAATATTTATTTAAACAAAAAAAACCCAGACAGACACCAAACTTTTTTAACCTTCTTAATTCTGGAGTTGTTTGCAAAAGCAAACATCTGGTTTTCATCCAGCTTTGTTTCTGTTTAACCTCCTTGCTCTGGTCAAGTGAAAATCTTCAACTATTATCTTCTTATAACATCTTTCTAACTGTGAGTCATCTCTTTTTTAGTATTCCTTATGCAGTGCTTCCCTGTTAGTCATGCTACAGACTGTCCTTTCTTTACTATGTAATACATAAGTACCTGATATTTATTTAATAAGTGAATTAACTGCACATTCTGTACCTTCTGTCTCTCGTTTTTTCAGTCCTCCCACAGTTTTTATGACTTGTCCAGATACACATGGGACAACTTCAAAATCATCCCTTATTTGCTTTGTGATGCCCAGTGTAGGTTAGCAGATGGTGGGTAGGCAAGTAGTGTTATGAGACACACTAACTGTTTTACATGTATTTGCTAAAAAATGCTAAAGCTTTACATCTGAGCGCATATGGTTTACGTGCAGGTATACTCTTACTGCTCTCATCCTTAGAGTCCACTGCGTGTTCTCTTGTAAGACTATGCGTTGCTTAGGATATGGGTCATTTTTTACTCTTTCTGCAAAGCTTAGGCAGGCCAAATACCTGATCATAATTGAAGTCAGGAATCATAGATACGCTCTTCCCATCATCTACATTTGGCATTAATGTTCATTAAAGAATTAGTTGAAACCAGTCGGAAAATTAAGAGATAAGCTACCCACATTCTTACTGCTATTTTTTGCTGAATAGATTTATTTTAGTCTCCCTCCCCTGTATCCTGGGTGAATACCATCTATCATGGCCATGGCCAAGCAGCATTAATTTTCAGGAACTGACAGAAATCACATCAGCCACAAAGAGAAGTAACACATCCACTGGGGCATGTTTTTACAGTGCTGCTGTAGGGCTGTGTGCGAGTGTCATGTCAGAGGGAGGCACAGCATTCCCCCTTTCTGACACATGTCATACCAGGTTGCACAAACAGGGAGCTGTGGGAACTGCATCACACTCAACAAGTCGATACCAGTGCTCTCACAGTGTTCAAACTGTTTTCCTCTTTCACACATGGAATGCTCCCGACACTTCTGTGTTACTAATGCTGTGGAAAGAGGGTTCAAGACAGCACCTTGACACAGACACTTTGGTACACTGTTTTTTGAGGGTTATTTGTTTGTAGGCTGGTTGGTTTGTTTGCTTGCTTTTTTCCAAGTGAAGTTTCAGCAGCTGAATGTACGTCAGGCAGATTCTTTTTAAAGTATACTTTACAGGAATCCAGGCAAATATGAATTTGAAGTGTGGGAGTAGTTATTTAGCTTACTTGTAGTGGCAAAGTGCAGCATGAAGCTTTTCTGATTTTCTGCTCCCACAAACTTGCCAATGAAAACTGAAAATGCAGTATCGCTAAATGCTGAACTGGTGGGATGTGTTCAGGCTGCCCAGTCCAACCATATGACCTAACAGTGAGCACTGTCTGTCTTGGTGTAGTGGAATGCCAAATAGAAGTCTGATCCTTGTCATATGAAAGATGAAAAGCCTTGGTCTGAGAGCCATGTCAGCATCTGGAGCTGGGAAAGCCAGATCTCTAATTAATGATTAACAAATTTCTGACAAAACTATGCCCCTTTCTGTGTAATTTTAACAGTTAAACTAATTTCCTGAAAAAACCACTGTCAAGCTGCATTTTCCTGCAGAGACTGTGCACATCATATTTGAGATTGCAGTGATACTACTTTAGAATTTTAAATAAGTAAAGTCTGATAAGATGAAGAACAAGCATCTGTTGTCTGTAGTAGGTTTCATAGAGTGGATGGTGTATGTGCTTCCTACAAAATAATTTTCCAGTTTAGCCAGCTTGTCCAAGTTGGTGAATTAGTGAAGGCTTTCAAATTGTTCTTATCAACTCTGCAAAACAATGTGATCATTCTGTAGTTCGAAGGTCAATTTAACTTTGCCACTTCTCTTTACGAATATTTGAAAGCACCATACTAGCAATGCTTAAGTAACCATAGCTGAACCAGCTACGCCTACAAAATGGGGTTTATGACAAAGCTTAGAAAAAAAAGTCTGAGTAAAAAGCGTATTAGAAATCAGAAATCTAACACATTTAGAAATATCACATACTACAAATGTATTTTTTTTAATAGATGACTTGCCTATCCTGTGTTGGTAGATGACTTACATCAGTGATAACATTCCTGCACCTGTTGCAGTAATACCAGCATTCGCTTGTTGATCCACTGTGTCCCAGGTGATGGCATTGAAAAAAATACTAATTCTGATTTACTTACTGTGTCACATGATGTCTATCAGCTCTACCCTCGACATAACTGACGTTGGAGCGGGTCATTCTTCTTGAAGACCTTGAGCCTGAAATAGAGGCATATGTTTAAAACTGACTTGTAACTAGGTAAAAAACTTGGTAGACAGATTTGTAGCGTGTTTAGTATTCCAAGAAAGCCAAAGTTAAGTATGGTGTAAATTTGGACCAAATACAGCTGTATGGCATGGATGAGATTCCTGCCCAGAGCAGGACATGTGTTTCAACCCTTTCCATGGCTTCCTAGTTGTGTAAAAGGAAGCATAGTTTGACTGAAGAACAGAAGAAAGTCAAATTTTAATCTACTCGAGACCAAAAATATTTGGTTTGAAATACAGTAGTCTTGCCATGCTGTTTATAAATTTTCTTTTGCATCATTTGGATGGGTAAATCTTATTTAAGATTTTTAAGGGGATCGTCCATTTAGTTTTAAGACTAACCCTGAGCTTTTGTGATTTTACGGATGTGAGCAAGAGAATTCAAAACAAGAATGTATCAGAGTTTTTTGCTTTCCTGTAAACACCACATCAATTAGTGAACTTTTCAGTGCTTTATGCTAGTGCAGCAAGAAATCGTTAGAAGTAGCCCCATGGATAGAAGCTTAACATTGTAACATTGCATCATATGCTTAAAATGCATTTCCATTGAAATGTGCATTTCTTGGGTTTTTCTGTAGGAATGGTCTAAGGCCTGACCCAATACATCATTTTTTCTTAATTCACACTTACTTATATAAAGCTTGTGGATTTTTAAAGTTGGATGTACAGTTGCATAAACGTGGTTTGCATTTTTGGGGACAGATTAGACCATTTGGACTTAGAAACCCAGAAAGATTTGAACTTTCTCTACCCATGCTCTGAACTTACTGAAGTACGCAGCTATCTGTACTACACCATACGCCAAACCCAGCCTAGGAAGTGCTGCTGGAAGGAGTGTGGAACAGCACCATTTGAGTTGGTTCAAGACTTCAAGCAGTACAAGTTTGCATCTACTAGTAAGAGATTTGTAAGAAGAGGTCATGGCTTACCTGGAGCCATGTAAAATTAAGGAAGACCAAAAATAAATCATTCAAACTATTATAGCTTCAGTTAACTTTTGACAGTCATTTAATATTACTTGGAAAATCCAATTCATTACTTAAAGCAGGTATTTTAAAGTTTACAGAGGAACTCAGTACATTTTGGATGGCTTTCTTACATTTTACTATTACTACTTTTGCATTCTCCCGTCTCTGTCCTTTGTAATTCTTCTGTAACAATACTGTAAAGTTACACAACTGCTGTGCCACAGCCCTGAAATGTTTGTATTTAAATTCTCAATGTATGTGTGACACAAGTAGATAATGCCCTTGTTTTCAGGACTTCCTATTCCCAGTTTTAATGCTTTAGCCAGAAGAGTATCCTTCCTGTACTGTAGAACAGGAAATAAGCTGGTTCCTTTTAAATTCTGAAAACAATGAACTTTGTCCTTAGCCTAATTTTTTAGAAATTACATTCATTTTGATGTTTTGGACAATGCAGTAGTTTGTTTTGTTTCCTTGTGAAATACAATGGGAACAGAATGTCATAATCTTACATCTATAATAAAGCTATCAAGGCAGAATTTAAGAATGTAAATATTACATCTTTCATATTTTTTCTTTTTCTTGACTATCTCTTGTTAAAAAAATGAAATTTTGCATTAGTGTGATGGCTACACGTGTCTAAGAAATAATGAAGCACTATGATAAATTAACACAGAAACAATGGGAAAGGAACAATAGAAGAAACAAACAATTACTTTTTTTTCTTTTTTTTTTTTCCTGGTGAAAATTGACAGAAAAGTCCCAATATTTGAAAGTACGAGGCCTTTATGTCTATGCCCTCCTCCAGGTTTTGTGTAGTTCCTGGTATAGTATTTAATGTGTGTCACATTGGTTATCCTTACCGTAACAATAAGGTGAGAACTTTTGCACATTTTATTAAATGTAATGCAACATATGAAGTTGCCTCTGAAATTGTAAAGAATTTTTCCAAATCTGACACTATTAGATTTATTTGGTCCTTGAAATAATTATGATAACACACATCACAATCAGGAGAACAGCATTTTCAGATGTTTGGAGAGGGGATAAAATCTGATGATATCACTTTTTTGTGTTTTCAAATAAGCCAGGTAAAATCTAGCTTCTCTTCAGTTTCTTGTGTTTCAGCAAGACTTAGTTAAATGTACAATAACCCTTTATATTAAAAAAAAAAAAAATCCATAAGGAAAAACAGTCAACCAAACAGATACAGCTTTTCTTTTAAAATGCTCTGCAAACGTAATTTCTATTTCAGCGTAGTGCAGTCATGTATAATTGGTTTAAGACATGCAAGAAGGCTATATAATCATCATGTGTTGCAGTTTATGATACAAACTCTTTATACTTCACTATGTCTTCTTGAATCTAAGAGTAATGTTAGAAGGGGAAAAAAAGTCCTAGATTTAGGTGTATACTTAATACCTCTTATGAGGCCTAGGTGATAGGAAAAGTGGATGTACGTGTGAGATACAGTCCCTTTATCAGACAGACCAAACAGCAGCAAACTCCGATAGAACTAGGGATTGGAAGCAGTCACTCCAAAGTGCGTTAATAGCAGTTGATCTTTAATGTCAGGTGTCTCACAGGTTACTGTCAGGTTTGAATACATACAGAAAAAATATTTCTAAAGTTGAAATACTTGGTATCTTTTGAGTGAGTTTTTTGTACTTTTAGAAGGATAGTATGCTTACATATGAATGAATGATTGTTTTCTTTTGCCAGTGCTTCAGCTGAGGCTGCAACAAAGACGGACACGAGAACAGCTGGTGGACCAGGGCATCATGCCACGTAAGACATTGTTTCCAGTACTTGTATTACTATACTGTATTAATAATGAACTGAATATATAAAATAATGAAGATAAGCATTTCTGTAAGAATCATTAAAAGTAACTTTCACATTTGAAAAGACTTGTGGGATCCTTTTCGTAATCTGAATAAGCATGAAGTATATTCGTCATGCTTACCTAATGTTTCAATTAAAACAGAGATTGCCATGAAAAGGCAAGAATTTGCAGACATGGTCTGATTCTGCTTTTATTTTCTGTCTTTACATTATGACTAATCTTAATGAAATATATTGAACTATATAAATGAGTGGACATCAATAAGAAAGCCAGCAGTCTTCAAAGAGTAGCATGGCAAGGGCTGCCAAACAGAAACAAAGGACACGTAGAGGTTGTGACTGATGCCTTCTGTGTCAGATCTTGCACACGCAATGGTAGCTGCGATGTTACGGGACACACAGCAGTGGATCAGGCTGGGCATCGTACACTGAATCATGTGACTCGCTGCAGAAGCTTCTGTGCCTAGGCCTTTCTTTCTGAGTATGAATACATTTCCAAGAATATGGGAAGAGGCTTTGGTTTTTTGGTTTTGGGGTTTGTTGGTTAGTTGCTTTGTGGTTGTTTTTTTGGTTTGGTTTTCTGTGGGGGGTTGTTTGTGGTTGGGTTTTTTTTTTGGTTTTTTTTTTTTTTAGAAAATTGGTTTGATTTTAGAACATTTTTTCCAGTTGCCAGAAGTTCCTGATCAACTTGCCACATCTGGCAAACTGTCCAAATTGGTGTAAGAGTTTTGTATTCTCTTCTAAAACAAAGATTATATAGTGGTAAAAATTCAACAAATGCCTTTAGATGCTATCTTTGGAAGAGTTAAGATGCTGCTGATCACCTTAGTGGGAAGTGTCTCACTTAAGGCAACAGCGTCACCAAGTTCATAAATAGAGTTGGAGATGTATTTGTGATTTCAGGATTCTGTAATGCTGAGCTTCTGACTCTGGCCTGGCTACCTACCATCCTGACAGCTATGCAAGAAGTTATCAGTTCTTCAGTAAACCATTTTTATCTCTAACTCTCTTCTACCACTGGAATTTAATTGCATGACATACGGCTTTGACAAGCAAATAATGTTTGTAAATTTGGATATTTGTTACATTTGTTACGTCTGAACTCACAGCACTTAAATTTTGAAAGTACCTGATTGGCATGCTTTATGCAATTGCACTTTATTGCCAGAGTCCATTTCCTCCTTTATTGATTTCAGTCTGTTAAGAGATGATGGTTGTTCCAGCAGCAGCACTTATGATATCTAAAATCAATTTAGGAATCACAAGAGGGTCCTCCTGAATATGGATAGCCTAGAATTCAACTGCAGTTAACTCTTAGAGCAGTTTTGGCATTCGTCCACTTGGGCTCCCAATGACTGTGCTAATTGTTTAGTATAACATCTTCTGACTTGTTTTGGAGATCAGCCTGGCCTCAGAATGAGTGGTGCACACAAAACATTGAGAATCCCTAAGTGGACAGTGTGGGATGAGACTGGGCTGAAGTTAAGAGGTCCAAGTTGTCAAAAGATTCACCTGTGAAAAGTGTTTTTTCTTAAAACAAACAAACAAAAACCCCAGCCGTTGAAAACATATCAAAATTGTGTCAAGTTATTAAAAATAGTCCAGTGTGCACTAGCTTGAAAGCCCATTATCTTAAATCTATTCTCTTCTTGAGGGTTTCTGAGTATTCAGCAGACTGCAGATTGCTTTGCTAAAGCATCTTCACTTTCCCAGGTCTGTAGTGTTCATTATCTTCAGGAACGGAAGGATCTGTTTCTTTTTGAGTGAAACCTCGGGAAAAACTTCTAAACTGTCAAAAAGTGTTAAAGATTTTGTTTTGCAGTATCTTAGATCTGCCAAAAATGTGGCAAATAAGATGGATTATGCCTGCTGCCATTTCACTTCTTTTCAACAAGCCAAGCACTTTACAATTCATATTATTTCTAGCTGAATAGTCGTTTTTACTCTTTTTGGCTATTTAGCAGCTAACCATCATTCTGTTTTCTAATCTGAACATTTGGGGCTTCTACAAATATTTTTTTAAAGATCAGCACAAATAGTTCTTAAGGGACAGTCCAGTTCTCTCTAGTAACAGCAAGTATGAGGTATAGACAGATAGTAAATACTGTGGAATAAATGAAATGGTATTTTGGCATTCTGAACCTTACCTCATAAAATTTCTACTGTGGAACAGTTTTGGTAAATAGACTCTGGTGTACATAGGGAAAAAGTTATTTGAAAAGATAGTATTTGTTAAAATTGAATATTCCACTACTATGTATAGGTGTGTTGCTTATCTCTGTTAAATGTAAGTGAACACAACTAGCATGAGTCAAATGTAAGCCTGGTCAGATGCAAACACAACTCTGAGATGGTGTTAAACACCCATGCACACATAATGGTTAGGGTATTTCTTTTGGAAGTCACTTCCTGTCAATTTAACTCTTACTCTCCCTTCACAGCTTTGAAAAGTCCAGCTGCATTCCATGAGCAGATAAAGAGCCTGGAGCGAGCCAGGGTAAACCACTTCATGTAAACTTGTTATTAACATCTGAAAATGGATAGTCAGTTGTATGTGATACTAAATTCTCCAAGTTCATGAGAAAATTATTACCGTTACAGTCATAATGTGCTTTTATCTTGGAAGAATCCATTAAAGTAAAATACTGGTGTCAAATCTGAGATGAACTTTCGTAGTCCATCACACGGATCAAGGTGGGGACATAGACTTATGGTCATACTGTAATACAGAGCTACCTCCGGTTAAGAATAGGATTCTTGGGTAAATTGTGCTTGTACAGAATTTCTGTAGAAAATGTATACTATTGTGATTTTGTGTAGTATGTATGTATGGGATCAAATCCAGAAACAATCCCAACTTGTTTGGGGAGAACACAAATTCATTAGCACTGCTTAACTGACAAAGAAACAGAACAAACCAAACCCCTCTACTGCCCATGTTCTAACAGTGATGTCCATCTGTCTGAATGCAACTGCAAATATTCATGGACTGGACATCAGTGATTTATCAAACTACTTTGATTTTTCTAGTAAACAGTAGTTAATGTTATTTCCTCATTTCTTTAAAGACTGAAAATTTTTTGAAGCACAAGATTCGCAGCAGGCCGGACCGGTCTGAGCTGGTCAGAATGCACATCCTCGAAGGTATGTACCCAGCTGTATATACCTTTTAAGCTGCTATTAGAAGGAACTTCTGGTATGCACTTGGTTTTCTAACTGAATTAGGCTTTGATATGAATTATTTCTAAAGGTTTATATGCTCTATTTCTCTTCTTCTACAGTGTCTACTGTAATCTGTATTCTAAGTCTGTATAATAATAGATAGACCTATGGCACTGAAAGTATCATTAACTGTGTATTTGTTTGCAATTGCGTGTGGCTTTTATTCTATAATGGTAGTTATACCATGGTGTATGTACATGTAGTGTATATATTGCTTCAATTTCTACACATACCCTAAAATAAGATGACAGCCTTGTATTTCACCCACCATCACCATCACCCAAACAGTCTTTCATAAACTTGACTTTTACCCTGCCTTGTTATTTTCCTTGTTGTTCAGGTCATTTGAAACAGCAGTCTTTTTATGAATGGGGCTCTATTACTGAGTTTCACCGTAATCTTACCAAATACAGAAATTTCCGAATAACTGTAATCCAAGTCAATTCAATAGCCATTAGTTTTCAAAACATGCATTTGGATACTAAATGCAGATAGAAATATCCATATTGATAGATCATACCCATATTGACAGACTATCTCCTTATTTTCATTGAAATACAATTTTGAAGACTCCATTTTGTGCTAAAGCTATTTTTAAATGTAAACTTTTTAAGATGTCAAGAGAGAATCCAAAAATCAATGGATTACTTAAACCTTTACCATAGGTAAACCATCAGAGCAGCATATGCTATCTTCAGATTATAATTAGCGTTTGTTATTTTATGTTCCCTGCTTTATGGTTGGACATTATACAAGTGCTTACCAAAAGTATTACTGCTGTTAAAAACAATGTTGTATTTATAGAAAAACACGGTTATGGGGATGAACAACATGTACTCATAAAATCTTATTTTTGCTTTATAACTTGAGAATTTTCAGAATACTACTTGCCTACGTTTGATAAAAGCAGAATGGTTATTGCAAAGACCAGACAATGTTGTTTGTCATTACATTCAAGAAGAGAAGGAGCAGAATATTTAAATCAGTCTATCTTTTTAGAGACTTTTGCAGAGCCTTCACTACAAGCCACTCAGATGAAACTGAAGAGAGCTCGGTTGGCAGATGATCTGAATGAGAAGATTGCTCAGAGGCCTGGCCCTATGGAACTGGTGGAAAAAAATATTCTTCCTGTAGACTCCAGCGTTAAAGAAGCTATTATAGGCAAGTAGAAGTCTCACAGCTTCTGTTACCTGTATGGGATTGTGCAAAATAATAATTTGACTCTTGAGGGTAAAGCTCACTAGAAGAAAACATACTCATAGTTTATTACTACTTATACTTTCAGCTTCTGAGTCCTAAACTTGGTCATCATTTAATTAAAGTTATCCTATTTTTATTCAAAACTAAGTTAGAATTATATAGTTGTAGTATAATGCTGTCTTTGAAAAGACTTGTTTCTTAATAAAAATTATTACAAAATAATCAAACTGATTAAAGATTGAGTAACGGCCACATACATCTTAGGTGTCTGTGCGCACTCCACCTATGTTGAACATACCTTTCAATCTCTTATTAAAACAACTTCTGCTATGCATTTAGTTTAATTGAGTCCTTGAATATGATTTAATATGGCTGTCATTATATTAAAAACACAATAAATACTTACATATCATATGTTTAGATTGTGCTGAAAACGTAATTTTCCAGCAATTAGCTAATTCTGCCACCAATGTCTAAATTTAATTTGTGTAACTAAAAAAAAATTGTTTTGCTTGTTTCTTTGTAAACATTCTAGCAGTTGGACAAGAGAGTTATCCTCAAGCTTTGGATGATTATTCATTTGATGAAGACAGCAGTGATGCTTTATCACCAGATCAGCCAGCCAGCCAAGAATCCCAGTTTTTTCCCCCGGTGAGCCAAAACCAGGTGACTCACCATCACCAGTAGCACCAAATACTACTACGTCAACACAGGTACGATTCTCAAATGTTGAAACAAAATCTTCACAGTATGTTTTTTGGCACTATAGAAATGGTGCACAGTTTCCTATGGAATTAATACATTTCCTGTTGCGAAGGAGTGTCAGGGACTCCATTTTCTGTTTGGGAGTGTGTAGACTAGAACTCTGTCTTAGCTGTTGGCAATGATGAAATTCCCATAGACTGTAGTAAAGTCATAAATTCACTGAAATTCATTATGGCCTGTAAAAGATCTACAGCTTTCCCAGAAGTTGTTTAAAAGGTCATGTCCATGGTTTACTCCAGCTGTTACTGATTACTTAATGTCTGTCTTCATTCTGGGCAAGGTCTTGAACTCGTTTAGAATTAAACTTAGCTGAAAAACAGCAGTTGACATCAGTTCCATTATCTCGAGAAAAGCCCATAAAAAAATAAGGTTTCCCACATAATTTAAATGTTCTCTCCTACAGTTTTAAAATACTGCCTAAGGAATTTACTATTTAAGAAATTAAATTAACCTTTATGTTGATTTTTCTATGAGGTTTTTTTGTATTTTCTCGAGTTACTTACAAAGAAAGGAAAGTAACTAAGTCTGCCATGGCGGATAAAATGTTGTCTTTATAATAAAGCATTTAAATGTGTCAGGATTTAAAGAACAGTGAATTGGAATGAAAACAGTTCCGAGTTTTCAAAAGGGTTGCAAAAATTAGTTTTGAAAGAGAATTCTTACAACAGTTTAATTTTGTGATTTGAAATGGACAGTAACGTCACCTACCCCATCTCTAAACACATCAAAAAAGTGCTGGTGTAAAATAATTTGCCAAATAGTAATGAAAGAAAGATCATGTGCTACAAATTAATTTCTTTTATCTTCTATTAGCTATTGAAACCACAGGGTTATATGCAAATCATACAGTTATCTGGATGCTTTCTACAATACCTTTTACAGTGCTCACTTCACAGATCTTTAATCGTCCCCTTTGAGTTAACTAGTAAGTTTATTCATTAGTGAGGTATATGTATTTATTCAAAGGTTATTTAGCTTAAATAGAATGTGTATTATGTTTCATGTGATACCTCAGCTAGTAATTTTAAACTCACTAATTTAAGCCCAGTTAAGAGGAGAAGGCTTTGCTTTTAACTATATTTCTGCAACTTTCATGGAACCTTTTCTCTGGATAGAGAAAGAGAACCAAATTAAGGGTCGAGTGGAGGGAAAGGCAAGCAAAGTCATCATACGTTGTCTGATGGCAGCTAGCTTGAATGGTCAGCAAACTCCAAACTTGCCAGATGTAACAGTGTTCATCTCCACGCATTAACAGCTTGGTTGTTTGAGACTGACAGAGCTAAGTAAATGACAAATTGTGCTTATATTCTGAGTTATACTTGTGTGGAGGAACCATCAGTTTGTATTTATGTGTTGAAATGAAGAGTAACAAAAATTTTGCCTTGTATCAATGCTGAATTAGTTGTTGAATCAAATTTACGCGTGTGCTGAGCAATCCTGAGCTAGAAAAAAGTCCTTGATCCTGAACTACTGTTTCTCCCAATAAGCTGATTTCCCTGTGGTACATAAATGAAAGCAGTATTATCAGAGAAAAATGATTTCTGTTTCAGATTGATGCATTTTACCATACTATCCATATTTACACTTCAATAAATTATTTAGTGGAAAGACTTTGGGTTATATATACAAAGTGACTTACAAATGACATTAGTTTAATAATGCTCCACTCAGCTTTCTGTACTTGATATCAGTATACCATGTGTGTATAACCAAACACAGAAATCTCAGTGATGTTGTCATTTCTGTTTAATTAGCTGAAAGGTTTTGTATTAATTTGAGCAGTATTCCTTAAGCAGAAAGTGGGGCTGATAGAAATTCAGAAGCTTTAGAACTTTAACTTCACTTCATGCACATCTGTATCTGGTGAAAACAAGATGTTTTAGCCTGTGGAACACAAACATTAAAATACTTCATTTTGAAGGAATTTAAGAATGTATCAAAATTTGACCATTATATGAATGGTACTCCATAAATGTGTAATATTCTTCAGGTTAATGTTGATCAACTGTAATTTATAACATTTTTTTTTTCAGGAGGACTGCTTAAGAGTGTTCCTTCATCACTTTACTACACAAACAGAAAAAAGATGCATAACTTTGCGGTTCAAATTATTTTCTTGCTTGTCTTTTTATTAAGCATTCTTTTAGACAATGCATTTATTTATATATTTAAAATCTCAGAGGATCCATACGTAGCAAAGCCAGGGCTCTCCATAGGGAACTTCACTGCAATTTATAAATTAAGACACAAACAAAAGATGTCAAAATGGAGTATTGAGTTCTTACTGTATAAAGTAATCTAAAATTAGACAGTTAAATATGAGATTAATATTGCCCCAAAGATGTTATTGTCTTAATGACCATGAATACTTGACAATTGAGTATTTCAGGATCTGGAATTACTCTCCTTGCTTTTATTATTACTATAGTAGATAGGAAAAGTGTTGCAAAGTTCATATTCAAAAACAATGCTGGACACCAAGTACGGCACATCCGTTTTATTTCATTGTTCCCTAGCATACAGGTTAAGATGTGAATTGGGTTTCATGTCAAGAGTATATAACTTGTGGTTTGTTTTCAATTTATCCAACTCATGAAATTAGATTCCTAAGTAAAGAGTTAGGTTCCTAGTGAAGAGTTAAATAAAAATCCTCAGAGCAGTACGCGCCAAAAGCTTTTCAAGTAGGAAGCATAAGACAGATAGGTGATTGCAACAACAAAATAACAGAGCGCTTGAACGTGAATGAAAAAGCACTTCAGATAGAACTTGAGTCCTTTGCTTACGGCTTTCATAACATGTTACGGCTGCTTCTGTGCACAGATCTGAAATGTGAAGTTGCTGTTCTGCAGAATAAAACATACACTTCCCTTGTTGTTCCGTTTGAAATAAACAATAACGGCATGGCATGTCTCTACAGGAGATGTGTCTGGGAAATTGCTCCTTCATTCTTTTAATTTTCTCCGACAAATTTTACATTGTATTACAACATAAAATACAAAGAATATTTTGAAAACAGTGGAGTGCAGCCAGAGTTCTTTTCAAGGCTTACTCCTCCACAGGTTTCCAGGCCTCAGATGATGTAACATAACTTTGAGAACCTTCAGCTCTCGTTGACTGATGACCTAAAATTTACTTTAACCTGATGTATTTACATCTGGTAAGGATTAGGCATTTTAACCACACCACTCTAAAGAGATCAAATTGTGATGTTCATAATTCTGAAGACATTAAACAGGTATCTTCAAAACAGCTGAAGTATTTTGCTTTATCAGACAGAATATAATGACTGGTTTTTTTAGTATATTGACTGAGGTTTGTGGACCTGCTAGATGCTTGTTTGCAGTTAGAAGAAAAGGCCCAGAAATCGTATTATCTGTAATGGGAGATGGAAGATCTGTTCAAAGGAAATAATCTTTTCATTACTTTGTGAAGTAAACAAGTTAAGAAGTTGAGACCTGTTAATTTAGGGGTTTGAATTTTAAAATTTTTCAAGTAAATAATATGGTTGCCTTATCTAATGCTTGTAGGTAAAATTGGGAAGTCTGTAAAAAGCTTTGTGTTTCATGTAGCCATTAATCCTCTGTAGGATAACAACTAAAGTAAGGAAAAAGTAATTTACTCTATGGCAAGAGGAGAATATTTAACACCATGATTTTCAAGCAATATGAATTATAGGGATGGTGGTAGTGGGGTTTTTTGTTTGTTTATTTTGATGGTTGGTTGGTTGTTTTTTAAAGTTACTAACTTTTCCATTTTAAAGTGTTTTCTTGTGCTGTCATTCTGGAGTTGTTTTCGTAGTCTATAACGGGTTGCTAAATAGTATGTTTGGAGTCAAGTTACTTGTTTGAGGTCAAGGAGGATCAGAATGATGAATGGTAAAAGACTGTGTAATGAATAAGCTGAAGTATCAAACATTGAAAATGGTTTTTAGATGGGACTTCAGGAAAAGAAAACTTAAGAACCAGTGAAAATCATGAGATCATTAGAGTTATCCTGTGCTTTATGGTAATACTGTACCTGACACTTTAAAGACAAACTTAAGTGCCTTTTTGAAATGTTACTGCTATAACTAGAATAAGCCTTTTAAACTTGATAGCAACAGGAGTGCAGTATGCTGGAATACAGCATCCAGAACCCTTTTTTAAAGGGCAAGTCCCTCTAAAGTCCCCTGCCAATTCTTATGCAAGTCCAGCAAATAACATACTGTGTAGATATCGGATGCTTTCCAGAGCAAACACTTTGAAAGTTGGATATAAAAATAGAGGCATTCATATCTTTAGCCCGCCACCATAAAGTGACACAACATCAAGACAGGCATGTGTGCAATGTTTCAGAGACCAGGCATGGCATACTAAATCCTGCCATTTAGTAAAGCAGTACCTGGAGCTTTTCCTCTCCGCGGCTGCACTACAGAAGGATCAGAAGCACTATACAGTTGATAGGTTACAGCAAGCTACCTATAGCTGCCTGTTCGAGCACGCAGCAAAATGTATAAAAGAAATGCAGAGATAGAAGGGAGAATTATTATCATTTACTTGTAAGCAAAAGGCAGAGAGCGTAGCGCCTGCAGCTTGATAATTGCCATCCCAGAAATACAAAAGAACCAGGACATAAAGTTGCAAAATGTGTACCAATTGTTTTTCTCAAATGGATTTAAGCCCTTTGTGGTACAATCTCATGGAAGAATAGTAGAGCATAGGAAGAAATGAAGTAGGGAGAAGTACCTGTCTGACTTAATTAGAATGCAAGGTTTTAGAATGTATTCTGGAGAAAAAGGATATTTACTGATTGGAATGTAAGGGAAATGGATGGGCTTTTATAAAAGGAACATTGTACTAGGTGATCTAATTGCTTTCTCAAACAACGGAAATACAACTGATTTCATCTGTCTGGATTTAATACTGTATGGTATTAAACTAGCAAAACTGGAGAGGATGGAGATTAGCAGAGACAGGACAAAGAGGGAAGTATTGGGTTGAAAGGAAGTTGGTAATAGTGCTCTACAGGAGTTGATTTGGGGACATGCTGGTTTCATGTTACCACTAACAACCTTGACATAAGAATGGGTCACATAACAAAAGCTGGAAGGCATAGTCAGCAGAGAGTTGGACTGTTGATATGCAGAAAGAAATGGTTGATTTGGCTTTTAGGAGAGAAATGGAATTCCAATAGAATGGAGTAGTTCTTAAAAAGAAAAAATAGACGCACCTTCCCATGAAAAAGAAATGTGGAAGCCTGGAGACTCTGGCTCAAAAGGGATCTGAGGAGGAAGACAATTGGGGTGCAGTGGCCAGCAGTTGACTGTGAGCTACTGTGTACTTCCTCTGTAAAACTGCAAGTATGTCAGAAGAGGTGATTCCAGTAGAAGTGTTAATGCCACTGTAAGGATCCAGTGAGACCCCATATGGGTCTCCATATGGAATATCCTATACGTTTCCAGTTACTTATGTATAAGAAAGACTAATGAAAACTGTAACAGGAACAGGAAAAGTGATGAAAAATCTCTTCTGTGAGAAAAGAATAAAAATTCATCCGTGTAGCTAGAAAAACAAGGGCTGAGATCTGTTTATGTACAGAGTCTATATCACATCAGAGGGATATTCAGTACAGAAGGAAATTGGTTTTAAATCAGAAAATAATTTCAGCACAGAAAAAATTGATATAACAAAGTTAAGCTCAGTGAAGTTTGGTTATTATGTAGGAAAACTTTTGGGAATTTTCTGGTAGGCATAGTGGTGCCAGGAAGAAGAAGAATAATAAAAAAGTCCGAAGCCTATATGGAATTTTCTAAGTTTATAGAAGAAATTACACACATGATGTTTGTAACAGCAAGGGAACAAACTCAGTAGAGTTCAGGCTACTGGATTTTACCTACACAGTAATATAATGGTGCTGGCAGTCAAATACAGAAGAAATGCGCCTCCTGGCACAGTCAGAGGTGTGGTTGCCATGAAAATACAATCAGAAGCTGTCTCTTCAAAATCCACCTGCTCTGCTGCTGCATGATCATTCTGAAACAAGAAGTTCATTTTCCTATCTTGATGTTTGACCTTCATGAAAGAGAGGCTCTTCTGACAGTACTGGTTTGGGTGGTAAGATTCTCCTTGTGACTTCAGAGACAGAAAATAGTGAAGGCCTCAGTTCTAGAGTAATAAGGCAGCATAACTTCAGTAGCTGCTTCAGTGTATATGTAGTGTGTCTAGAGTCAAATTTTAATGTTGCTTCAGAGAAAGAACAAATGGTGGTATCTGCTGACAATGCATTCCATTCTTCCTTTAATTATTTTTAACCCTTATCCTTTTGTTTATAATTACTAAAATTTCGTTTGAACTATTCTTCTGTACTTAGTTGCACTAGTTATATTTTAAAAATCTGTAATTCTTTGGTTCTAGAAGCCTTCATATATGAAACTTGGTAACGCTAACAAGAAAAAAAAATTGACATAACCTTTTCCTGTAGTTCTGACTGATTAACTTGAAGAGAAGGTTTCTTTTTTATCCTTATGCCAGGAGCTAAAGTACTTGAATGACAGCTGTCAGTTCTAGAATAATTTTGCAATTATAAAGTTAAGAACTAGCATCAATTAGTTAATATGATTCTGTGCTACCAATGAGAGACAAACACATATTATGAGCAGTTTAAGTAAAATGCTCCTGACTTGAATGGGTGAGGTTACTTCTGAAGGTCCTTCCAGCTCTTTTTTTTTTATCATTTTGTAAGAAAGACAGCAAGAAAATGTTTTCATGGTATTTCTTTATTTGTTTTCATGTATGTTAAAAGGAGAAAAGAATTCTGCAAATCAGAACAACAGTGGAAGGGTTGTGAAAACAAAGCCCTTCCAGGCAGCTTTTTTTTCTACGTTATTATAAATCCTTTTTGGTTATCGTTCTTTTTACCGGCAGAAAAAACCACAATAATTAAGGAAAACATTAATCTTGGAAAAATACTTATGATGATGTACTACAAAAATTGATCTTAAAATAAATTACTGTTTTGCTTTGGTGAAACTAGAAGTAAATCCTGACTGAGTAAATACACGATTTTGAATGCATTTACATGCAGTAGTTAAAATGTAAACTAAGAATTCAAGGTAAGAAAACAGTTTATCTTCTTTGCTACATTTGAAGTGAAGTGTGCCAAAATGTACACAAGAAACTCCTGTTTTCATCATTCCTCCTAAAAATATTTTGTGAATTTGACGTGGTAGTAAATTGTCTTAACCGTTTCACATTTTTTCAATTATTCAGATGGTGGATGTTTTTAATGTTTCTCTTTTTCCTTATATTTTTTTAATACTAGTATCCACCTTTAACCTCTCCAGTTCCTGAATTTCTCAAAACTCCCTCTACAATCGAACAGCATGTTACACGGTCTACTGCTACAAGCACCCTGCCCACAAATACTGTATCTGCAGCAAAGCCCGGGCCAACGTTAGTAAAGGTGGGTATCTGTAATAGTGACGTCTGAGGCCTGTGTTCTTCATCTAGGTCCTTTTCCAACAATACAGTTAATGAAAAAATACACAAGTAATGTTATAGTGCCTGTAACTAACAACAACTTTTATTAGTGTTCAGGAGAACATACTGGGTTGTTGTTGACTGAAAACTTTTGTATGCTACATTGACACTTGTGGGGACAGGCTCATTATTTCAAGAGGTCCTTAAGTACAGTTAACAAAAGTTTTCAAGCAGAGTTATGTATCACATTACTATGGAAGCTCTTAAGAAATAAGAACAGTAGATTTTTGCAATATTGAGTTTCTGCGTTCTAATGGTGAAACTAATCTTTTCTAATCTAGTTTTTTATGGAGAGTAATTTAATAAGAACGAGGCAACTGCATTAATAGTCTACCTATAACCAAACTGGTGAACAGCATTGCTCCTTTTCCGCAACTATTTTCTTAGTTCATTTATTGTATAAGCAGAATGCACTGTGGGAGAGGAGTTATAGTATCCTTGTATTTGAATATCAGAAGAACGTAGTTAATTCTTTTTTCTGCACTGACCTACCTAGCAGCATGGAAAACTTTTTCAAATACAGTTAGAGAGGGGGCTGTGATAGAAGATGTCTGTAAGACCATTTCAGCGACATTGCCAAAGGTCTTCAGCTGTGTGATGATTATATGCGTGTAGACTTCTACCTAACCACGGAAAGTTAATTCTTGGTTAAATTTACAAGGATGACCTGTGGTAGTCAATTTGTAGTATAAATTTAGTTATATCCAGTGAAATCGCTGGACTTGTACCAGCTTACTTATGCAGGAACTTAATGACAAATTCAGATATTCCCCAAAACAGGCTATCTGTGTAACAGATGTGCATGGATCAACACAGGGTTTCTGCTTTGATACCTCCTATATGACTAGGTAACTGCCTTCGACTTTTCATTCAAAATAATTTCAAAGAGCTTGTAAAGTAAGTGGGTTTTACCACATGTGCAGGTATTGCTAGTAAGGATACTGCTGAAATTTTCACGAGTAATCCTCTAATTTATAGGACTGTCTGTCCATGCGTTGAATCTAGACCTGTAAGTACTGACGACCTGCAAATGTTTACAGATGGACTTTTACATACTAGCTGTTACTTGTAAAGAGCTACGTGGCTTTGAACTTAGCTGTTTAAGATTAATGCCTCTTTGCAATGACGGGTCATGACTAGCAGAATCCCTTAGCTTCACTTGTGCCATCTCTTAAAAAAGCAATCACAAACTGTGATTTGATGACCCCTTGTGCACAGTATAAGCCAGCTGGAGTACAATAGCCTTTCAAGGATGGTAAGTGATCCTTTGGGGCAGGTTTGCAGGGGTAATTGTATTCAGCAACTCTTTGCAGTAAATGGGCTCCTGTATGCTTCATCTTTGTACCTTGCATAACTGATTGTAAATGAGATGTCTGTTAGAGTTGTTTCAATCTTTTCCATCCATGAACAGCAAAGCCACCCAAAGAACCCAAATGATAAGCATCGGAGCAAAAAATGTAAAGAACCTAAGCCAAGGGTGAAAAAATTGAAGTATCATCAATACATTCCACCTGATCAGAAAGGTGAGAAAAATGAGCCACAGATGGACTCCAACTATGCTCGTCTGCTACAACAGCAGCAACTGTTTTTGCAGCTGCAGATCCTGAGCCAACAGCAACAACACTACAACTACCAGACAATTCTACCTGCACCGCTGAAGTATGTGAAGCATTGTTTGTGTCCTTTAAAGAAAAGATACGTACATCAGTTATAGACTTCATGCTGTAGAAGTAAATGTGTTTTGCAAATGTTAAGAGACAGCTGGAATCCAAGAAAACTTCAATGGCAGTGTGCATCACTGTGGGTATTATTTGCCTCATTTGACAAGGTGATGAGGTGGTTCTCTTGTTAAAATACTTGTGAAGTCTGATAAGCCTTTAAGTGGTCCTAGTTATTTTTGTGTAACATGGAAACAGAACCTCCTACCTGTCAGATGCATTTTTTCCGACCAGATGCGTATTTGAAACTCAAAAGCATTTACACGAAAGGAAGAAAGTTCTGACACCATTTTCACTCAAATATGACATAGGTAGGCAGAGCAGAAGAGAAGCTTACAGACGATGGCTTTTACAAAGACATGTACTATTTTTGTGTTTTGACTGTCTTTTTACATCAATTTCACAGACCACATTTTTGTAGTTTACAGAAGAGAAGACACGGTCACTTTAAATTAGGTAAAATTTGTGTGTTGTTGATAGTCCTATCAATAATGCTTATATGAGTTCCTCATCAGTGTTGATCTTTAGCACTTTTAACAGTGAGAAGTATACTTTCTGATTTGTAGGTAGAAGCAGCCAGAAAAATAAATCTTCAGAGAGTTGCCAGCATCCTGTAGCAGAATGAGAAGCTGATTGTCTGGGGAGTTTCATTCTCACCATCTAAGACTGATCTTTTCCTAGAAGTGCTTACACTGTAACATGCCACAGTCACGCAACTCTAAATTCAAATTACTTTCAAGTGCTGTTTTTTTTTTAAATGAGTTTTCACTTAGTTACTTTTCCTCAGCAAGTGAGGCTAGAAAAGTTAAAGATACCATCTGTGGTTATATTTATAATTAACATGTATCCTAACATTTGAACTAGAGATGTTTCTGCCTGCTTTCCCACGCTTCTTATGTTCCATTTACTGACATTTCAGAAATGTTTCTTCGTAAATCAGCTGAACAAAATAAAAAAGCTGACTTATGATACCTAGTGTAAATGATGGCATTTTTAAAATTTTACAGTTATTTTGAAATCCTTGTATGAGATTCTTCTTACAGCTGATAAAAAAGCATCATCTTCAGAGTAAACTGCCTTCACACCGGTCCTTACTATATATGAACATTGGACATGTATGTAGGGTTGATACATAGAGTTCAATATTGGGGAGCGGGTTATTGATGTCAAACAAAAAATTTAACTAGTTGCCCTAGGTGACGATTAATTTGTATAAACTGATTCTGCAGTCCATGGCATCCTTCAGGGATGCCATGACAATAATAAAAATGCTGAAGCATAAATTAGTATGCTTAACTGAAGAGAGAATAAAATATCAACATAGTACTCTGTTATGTTTTCTTCTCTGTGCTGTTTTACTAAAAATGTTTAATGGTAATGTTTTATGGTAAATGCGTATTTGTAAAAAAATTTGTTCATTAACTTGATAGACACTAGATTCAGAATCGCAGCTTCTTGGTTGAAAATACTGACATTACTGTCCCCCTTCTTCTTATCACTTGAAGGCCACTGAATGACAAACAGAGTAGCAACGGGAATACGCCACTGAATACTTTGAACAACAGTACACCAACATCAGCTGCCAGCTCACCGAGACAGAATAGTAATATTCCTAGCCGGAAACCAGGACCTCTGCCTTCAAGCTTGGATGACTTGAAGGTAAAAAATAAGAGGCATTTGTCCATTCCTGTGCATCGCTATAGGTCATAACCTGCAAACTGCTACTGTCCAGAATAAGCCTGGATATTATTTACTAATGAAAACTGTACTTTTCTCATAACTGTTTAGAATAAGGTTGTCAAAGTTTTCATATACAACTCTTCTGGAGTTAAATATTTGTTAGAGTTGCGGTCAACTGCTCGATGTCCCAACTGGAGACCAGTGACAAGTGGTGTTCCCCAGGGGTCGGGACTGGGGCTACTTAAAATCTCTGTTGGCAGCATGGGCGGTGGCATTGAGTGCACCCTCAGCAGGTTTGC